GTCGCAACTGTGGGGGACCTAACCGATCAGATTGCCGGGACTGCCAAGTCAGACCCAGAAAGTCCGGACCGGTGACCAAAGAGCAGCTCGCGTGGATTTGCCACCTCGAGCAAGTTAAGTTCACAAAGGTGGCTCGATCTAGGGCTGCAGCCAAAATGGCTGAAGAGGCTATCATCGTTGCGGCGAAGGATGTCTCGATGGCTGTAACGGCTGGTGAACCGACGGTAAACCCTGTAGCCTGCATTGGCCAATGCAGGCACCCTTTTCACCCGCTGGGACGTCAGGTAATGGAAAACTCACTCTACGGCTCGGACTACTAGCAAACACTCGGACGGTCGCGGGGAGGATTGCCTCGAGCACGGGGAGTGACATAATTAGAGGACTGTGCGGTGGACCGTGTGCCGGAACATCTATTGAGAAAGTTAACAGCACTCGGATGAGCTCAGAGAGGATTGTTTCGGGCACGGTGAAACTGATTGAAAGGTAGTCGAGTGGTAGGGCGAGCGTCAGGAGTTAATACCAATGCAGAAACCTAAACTCCCCATAGGTACATCTGTGCGCTCTTAGGAATAGATGCAGGCCACGTTTTGGAGGAGAGCGCGGGTATAAATAAGCCCTTCTTGAACATACACATTTTCTCTTTAGAAGAATAGTAAACTAATGATCGTGCATCTCAAGCCAACTTGAGAACTCCCCGACTGTCACAATGGCCGAGGTAACAGGTTTCGGAGTGTTGGAATCTGAAGAAGAAATTTGAGGATACAGCGACCTCGACGATGTTCTTTCTGGGGCATCTACTAACCAATAGCAGGATACCGGCTGGATGAAAGGTGCCTGCTAACCCATCTTTCGCTCTCAGCGGAGATTGAGCAAATTTGTCATTTGAAAGGTGTGACGGAGGACAGAATGTGTGAGGAGCGCATTGATTGGGTCCAATGTGGAGGAATCTTCTGTTTTTTGTGATTTTTCGCTCTTTGTTTGATCAGCTGCACCTTTGGCAGTGATTCACGAGGTTGGAACGAGTTTAGGCTGTAGGAAAAGTTACAGGGAACCTTGCCGGATCCACCGTTCCTTCACCCGATGTGGATGATGAGCTGTAGCCTAGGACCTGCGAAAAGACGGAACACAAGCGTCTAGCTAACTTCTGCCCAAAATAGAATTTATATTCTATCTAAAGAAAAGGATACACTGGAAGGATGTTCCTGAATATAAATCTACGCGTCGTGTAAGACGTCCCTTTTTATAAGCAGTAACAACGCTTGACCACAAATGTGTTAGCGCTTGGCAAGGGACCAGATAAACTCAGGTTCCAGACAACATGGCTACAGCCCGTAACAGGACCTATCGTAATGAAAAAAAAATCAAACAGCTGTCCGCCACTCTGCTTTCCAATTTAAGTGTAGCGAATTTCCCTCCACCAGGAACTTTACTTTTTTTTACAGGTAGTTTTAAAAACCGTTGCTAATTGAATTATCTATTTATATAAGTCACAAGATACATCACGTGGTATGTGAGACATTCATTCATTGTTCTAGTTTAACGTTCTATGCGGTATCTATATACAGAACCATGAAGACGGTAAGCCGCATTAGTAAGGGAAAAAGCTTTCGACAAACAAACCCGATATCCTGCCACTTTGAACCGACCCGGCTTTATGCTGAGGACGTTCCTTTCAACCGCAATTATGTAAACTTTCCTCAAAATTCATTAACTCCCCCTTCAATCAGACCATCGTTATGAGAAATTAAAAAGAGAAGGCACTTCCTCACTCGGCGTTGGACTTCGAAGTGTTCGAAGAGTTGGCCCCGATGGTGGTGCTGCTGTCGAGGCGATGGTTGGTACCGCTGGGGCTTCGACTACCTTGCGTGGTCGTCCCGGCCCTCTTTTGAGTCCTTCAGCCTTTTTACTGGTGACCAAAGTGAATCCTTGGTCGTCGGTCGTTCCGACTGTTCGTGTTGGCGCCATGGTAGGGTTTTCATTCCATATTTCTGCCGTCCTCGATAACAGCTCCATCCGAGCCTTCTCCACACTACCCTGGTAAACCTGGTAGGCCCGACGCGCTGCTTTCTGCCATGAACTATGTTCCTTGCCGCAGTTGGCACAAGAAACCCTTTTCCTCGGACAGTCCCGAGTTTGGTGAGCGCCAGCGCACTCACCGCACCTGGCTGCCTTTCCACACGACGCCTGCGTGTGTCCCCATTGGCTGCAGTTGTAACACTGCTTTAGCTGAGCCCGTGGCGACCACACCTGCGCGGTGAAGAGCATGGCGTTAATAACAAGGCCCTGTCGAACTACCTCCGTTTGCATTGCCTCCGATGGGAGGCTGACCACAATTGAACCTCGATTGCGACCGTTTTTCTTCGATCGCTGATGCTCCTTTCCATCATGTAGCCATCGTATTCTGTTAATTACCAGGCCTGGAATACGTGCCTTCGTCGCCGTCTCAATCTCCCTGATGATGGCGTATTTGTTGGCATCTCTGCCACCCTCAATTCTTGTCCGCAGTGGGACTCCGGAAACCTCAACAGGAAAGTCTCACCGCAAAATTTTAAAATCCGTTGGTTGTCGCTTGTTTAGCGCCGCGTCTCTCTGGGACGCCGACTGGACAAACACCTCGGTGTCGTTTCTTCGCATCTGTCGAATTGCAAATGCGCCTTGAATATGTTGCTGTGCCTTTGAGAGCAGCTCTTGTGGCTGCAAGTTTGGTGCGCCATCGATTCTTATTCTAACCGCTGTCTTCGTCATTTGCGGAGCCACGACCGACGCGTAGCTCCTTGGTGTCGGCGCGCCCGAAACCACTGCTGGTGCAGCTTTTCGAGCAGGATCCGCGAGGCTCTTTTTGACAACCTCCTCGAGCGCCATCATCCTCTCCTCGATAGGAGACTTCTTCTGTGTCATTTCCGTCCAGGCCCTTTTGTGTGCGTTGAAGGCCTTCACGGCCTCTTTCACATTCTCCATTGAGGGTAAGTCCTCCTCATCCATCTCTCCCATCACGATGAGTCTAACCTGTTTCAATAGTTTCCCCAGGATTTCAAGGTTTCTATCCTTAGGAGCTGTCTGCGCTCCGCTGCCGTTGTTTGATTGTGCCATAGTCGCATTTTGCGACGCGTCGAAACCGCTGGATTTACCCACACCAGCACCCACACTCGCCATGTTGGAGCACGGAAAGCGATAAGATGTAAGGAGGGTAATAAAGATGTAAAAATAGTAATCACGATGTCAAATTGGTGATACGGGTAGCGTGGAACGCTGCGCAGCTTTCTGGCAAAAATGATGTTTTTTCTTCTATGTGAGACATTATTACTTATGTTAAGATATTTAGGAAGTAGAGTCGCAGGGGTGATGTACACGGTACATAGAGAAATAAATGACATGTTATGTTAATACAGAATGATGTGTGTAAGTTACCTTCTGAAATTGTGGGCAATTTTAAACTAACCAACCGACTGATTAAGCAGAGTTTCCGGCCAACAGCACATTGATTTCAATTTGCTTGCCTGTTAGGCCAAAGGCCGAACATCCGTCTGTGGTGTCCTCTACGAGTTTAGGTTTGAAATATTCCTCCAGAACCAAGATTCAGCCATTCCCCAACGGCCGAATCGATTTTTTCCTCACTAAAATTTTGTAAGGAGCAATGTTGTGCCGTGGAAGCTTTGCAAGTGGTTAAATTAAAGGAGTCAAGATTGCAAGGGTATCACCTAAAAGGTTAGCAGAGACAGTCATCCCTTCAAATTTCTTGTAAATGTCTGAGGCGCTGAGCAGTGACTGGGCTTCGTTCTTAATTTGCTGGGCTCTTTTGGAGCGCTAGCACGTCGAATAGTCTTTACAGACTAATCAAACTGGCACTTGGACCTGTAATTTTGTTTTATGCGCCGGCATGACGTTAGTTACTTAAAAAAACTGACTGCTAAAGGGTTGGAATTGAAGTTATTTTACTAATACTTTCGAGATGTGCTGTGAGCATGTAATATTCAGTTATTTTTACATATAACATTAGTGACTCTTGAATATCCGGAGCAGTGTGAAACTGTATTTTCCCGATAGTAATATTTTTTTCTTTGTGACTTAACGGTGTGTAATCCGCGCCTGTAATTGCCTTCATAGAGGTATTTGAAGACGAATCCGATATGAAGTCGGAAGTTCGCTGCGGAAATCGTACATTATCTATAGAGAGTGTGTAACTGATATGGTGCAATTAAGTCACAGACGCTATGCTAGCAGTAGAAATAACAAAGATAATAACCTGTAGTGAAAGAGCATGAAGATTTTATTGCGATGAATAGCTTATTATCATGTACTGTTACAGTGTATCGCATGAGCTATGTCGTCTTTACAATACAAACCCCGACCAAAATTGGATCAAATTCATTGGATAAATACTCTTGCGTCTTCGGAGTCCAAATATATTATCTTTCTTTTTAAAATGATAGGTTTACAAGTTTCTGTATCCTAGTTCTCTCAAATCATCTCTTAGCTGCCATGCCCAGCGGCTTGACTTTTAGGCCACATAGTTGCCTTTATGCTGACTAGTAAAATCAAACTAACTTTAGTTTTAAATATTCTCATCAATATTTTTCTCCTTCAAATGGGTTTATAATTTTCTTATTTCAGGGCGAGCCCTAGATGTTGAATCACGTAGTCCAAGATAATTTTTCGTAATGTTGTTGATATTCAGTTGTTAAGTTCGCTCCTCAATCTGAGAGCTAAATTAGATCTACTATAGGATATGAACGTATCTTAAAAGGTCCAGAATTAGAATATCTTGGAAACGAACTCTGGTAGAGTATCGACCAATTATTCAGGCTGTCATTTTCCTTTGAATGATCCGTATCATACTAATATGTTAAAATTTAGGGCCAGGCTCTTGCTAGAGATTTCGAGCAACTGGTCTAAAATGACTCAGGTCGTCTATTGTAAATACCAGGTACCTTAAGCTGGCAAAGCAGTGATTAATGTGTAGATTCTGCTTTTGGACACAAGAGAAATTTCCATGATTAGACTTAAACACTGAGCGTACCCTTAGTACTTGGAACATCATTTTCCTTTCCACGGATGACCGTTGTTGCTGCCCGTAAAGCTATTGCTAAGGCCTTAAACGCAGATTCTGCTTTATGATGATCGTTGTCTCCATGGAGACAATGTACGTGTAATGTAATCCTAGCGTTTTGCGCAAAACTCTGCATACAATGTGGAATCATTTCAGTACTCAAGTCACCAATCTTTTCACGTTGAAGCTTCAATTCGGAAACGCAGTAGGGTCTATTGGAAATATCCACGACGGCGCGTGAGAGAGCTTCATCAAGTGGCGCATAAGCACTTCCAAATCGTGCGATGCCCATCTTGGTTCCTAGTGCCACATTGAATGCTTCTCCTAATGCTAGACAGACATCTTCTGCTGTATGATGATCATCGACTAAATCGGATTTATTAATGACTCCTGACCACTTTCAACCACCGAAACTCACTGTGAAGATCTCCCTTGCAGTGAAGAGCTAAACTCCAACCAGCATGCTTCGCCAGCGCATGTAACATATGATCAAGAAACCCAATCCCCGAGTGGATCGAGATAATCTGACTCTGGGATGCTTGCGTTGCATGACCGTCTAGCTCGCACATCAATTTTTCGGTAGTGACTGCCGGGAATTCTCCTCCATCTATATTTAGCGCTAGTGAAATACTTGTTTCATTAGTCGACCGTTGTATGATGGCCGATCGTACTCTTGGCTCCTGTTGCTCCGTCATCTGTGCCTAATCGTTGCTATCTTGTTGAAGTTATTGATTTGTATTGATAATTTTTATTCGTGGACAAATTGTTAAAATAAAGCAGTAGAGATTCGTAATTTTCAAGGTCAAAAATGTGAAGTTAATAAATCATAGCAAGTGCAGATGGAAACATTTCTGAAAACTGAAATACGCTTCTCACGCTTTAGCCACCTCGCTTAAATATAACTTTGCTAGAAGTTAGAGTAGTTGGGGCCATCAGGTAGGCCGCTGTGGACACAATTGATGGAAAACCGATCGTGCAAATTTTTCTCTATTGATTGTCGCACATGGTGCGGGGGGAATATTTAAATAAGTTGGCGATTCTGTAATGTGGAGGAGAGATAGAGAGAGAAAGGTGTACTTATTACACTACCTGAGTCTTAGACTATCTAGCACATTGGGCTCCTTTCTGACCCAGGCCACACCTTGTACAGTGCTCCTTGCTTCTTGGATTCTTTGAAAGATCATTGATTGCTGCCCGTGAAGAATTGCCATTCAGCTTAGTATCTACCCGTGGAATTTTGCCACCTTTTCCGCGGAAACTTCTACCCAAAATAGGGGGACTATTCTCAACACCTGTCAGTGGTGTCCCCTACGAACCTCCAGCTCTCACTGTAGAGCCTATAGAGCCGAGATTGAGTAACACCTTATCGACTTTGAGCTGAGTTATCTCCCCCTCCGTCAAAGATACGCTTCCGATAACACATAAGACGACCAAGACGATGACAATGATGCTGGGAATGAGGAAAGATAATGCGGTACCAAAAGCTACAACGGTAGTCAGAGAAGCCCTCGTTATATCACAACATGTGCTACCCACCGACGGACAAACAAAAAGCTCACGAAAGCAAAGTAAAAGACCCTTCCGCCCTCAAGAAAAGCAAATTTCGACTCGTCTACATTATCGTCCCTACTATTCATAACTTCCGAATCTACTAGCCAGGAGGGCAACTGAACTACATGAGTTACTCGACAACCCCACATCCGTAACGACTCTTGGATGCTAGGCTACGCTCCTTCACGACAGTCACTCTCGACCAAGACTTTTGTGACATCCTTTCACGACCTACGATTTGTCCTGCGGCATAAATCAGGGGAGGAGTAGGGAGGAGCCTAGAAAGGTTGAGAGACACTCTTAGGTATACACAGGTCTGCTGCGCCCGGCTGGCCGGCCTCTTCGTTATAGGAGAGCACCGCAACCAGTGGATTTTTCAGGGCTTGTCCCTCACTGTCCATTAGAGAAACGCGTAAATTTAAACAGTTGGAACTTAAAACCTGTGGCTAGTATCTTATTTGTAGATTGTAGGAGTCCTCAATAGTCATTGACTCAGTTAGGACTTTAATACAAATCTAATCTAATCTAATTTAATCTAACCAGTGGATTTTGAGACTTTTCCCTGCAGCTACATACCCGCAAATGGCCATCGTTTCGTTGGCTGGAGAGGGGAGATAATGACGGGATAACGGCTCCTCTTAGTGTGTACTCGAATGAAGACCTGTGGAGGTGTTACTGCTAGAAAGAAGTCGTGATGTAGTCATAGGAGGGAGTACACTACCCGAGGCATAGATTCTACCGGCCAGTAGGCAGAAAGTACCTACCGTGGTGCCACGGTGTCAAGTTTGTAGTGGGCTTTGGCAGGGGTTTTTGCGTGTTAACTAAGACGCCTTAGGCATAGTCACCTTCCATATTGGAGTTAGCCCCCATTTTTGTGCAAATTTTTGAAAAATTTTGTACGGTAGTCTTCATTTGGACACCATAGTTTGTAGTGGGTCTTTCCTTCGTACTAAACCTAATTTGTATAATGATCGGCTGCATAACATTTGTGCATTTCTGCTACTTGAATTTATAACTTATTTGCAAGAGTTCAAAGGTTTTCAAATTACAAAATAGAGCCAGTCTTATCCTAACCTTAGATCTGAACATGTGGCTGGAATATTTTCAGGCCTTAATATCTGGTCGGTTCCCCATCCACATCTACCACAGCCTGACATCTTGCTGGCATACTCTGAATGAGTCTCACAAGATCTTCGGAAGACACGGAATCCCATGCCTCCTTTACAATGTTGCGAAGACTATCTTAAGTTCGCTGCTTTCCGCAACCCAGATTCGGATGATGACGCTGAATGTAATACTTCATCTTATTCCAAACAGCTTCAATCGGGTTAAGATCAGGTGAGTTGGCCGGCCAGGAAATCGGTTGAATGAGCCTCTGGCTCACATCTTCCATTGTAATTGCGGCTGTGTGGGCAGGAGCATTATACTGCATTACGGAAAGCTAAGGTCTCATGGAGACCATGCCATCGATAAGAGGAACTATCTTCTCGCAATGTTTTTGGGAGTTAAAGGAACCCCGTTTCTTCTCCCAAAACAAACAAGGGCCTTTTTCTAGCCCTGCGAAGCAACCCTAGAACATCCATCCAACCCTATTCTTCGATTTTTCTCCAACACAAACAGCGTTGTATTCTTGGGAAGTCTAGCTCATAATGTTAGAGCATCAAGTTACCATCTTCTTATAGAGGAATATGCGAACACTTCTTGTCACCCATTCTCTAGAATGTCTTTCATCCTCTACCCAGGTTTTGTCTGTCCATGTAACTGACGTCCAGTCTTCATATATCCAATTGAGATGAGCTTCAGCCCATTCTCTGCGTGTCTTCATAGTTTTCTGAGATACTGGAGGCTTTAGACGAGCCACATATTGCTAATATCCTCTTTTTTTAAAGTTCTCTTTGTATTATCCGCTCGCTTACACCAAGATGTCTAAAGGGGCCAGAGGCTAGTTCCAGAAATGTTTTGCGGCAGTTTACGGGTGAAGACTCAACGTAAGATATAATCTGATCAAAATCATCTACTTTCAGCCTTGAGGATGTTTTTTTTCTCTTTTTGGGGGAGATAGTTATGTGGCGCAGCAAATACCTAACTTGTCCCCGAGAAATGCCTAGTTGCGTGGCAATCTGCGTCTGGGTTTTGCCAGATTCATGGAGCCCATACATCTTGAAATTTCTTTTAATTTCAATTCGTTCATTCTTAATTTTTCTACATAATAAAATGTTTTGGTCTCTGGATAATCGTTTGATTCGAGGTGTTGAAGGTGGGGTTTGAGGTGGATTCATCTGCAAAATAAGGTTATTATCGAGTAAAGCCATGTGTCTTCTGAATACATAACTTTGTACTTGAGAAATCTAATTCTTATTGTAACTCAAGCACGAGGTAAGAAGAGCTGTGTAATTTTTTAGCGGTCGGCGCTCATCTTTTTTTTTTTTTTTTTTTTTTTAAATCATTAAGTGTATGCAGCCTATCTAGCTATGACACTGATTACATTTTGATATACATTGACATGTACTCCCATTTCCCCTAAATATAAACAAATGTAAATTTTTTTTTTAAACATCTTTAATAGAGCATGTTGTTGGTTTCAAGATTCATTTAATTTCCATCCTCCTCATCTTTGCCCCCATAGAAACAGCCAGTTGAGGAGAGATATCTTAATAGTGCAGTTTTCCCCACATTTGTGTTGAATAATATCTTAAGTACAAGTGGTTTCAAGTCTTTAAAGTGTTCTTGTCTCTGTCTTTTAAATTTTGAGCAGTGTAAAATTAGATGACTTGTTGTCTGAATACTATTTGAGCAAAAGTTGCACAAATCTGTCTCACTTTTTCCTATCTTTTTCAAATAGCTCAGGTTGTTTCCTATTCCAGTTCTTACCTGAATATATGATGACTGAGCCTTTCGGCTGAATTTAGTAAAGTTAAATGGTTTGAACTTGAGATCTGGGATAGAACACTTCATATGAGCTCTGTAGAACTTGCCTAGCCCCTTTGATCTCCTACCATTATCTTCAAGCTTTTGTTGTGTAGCCCAGTCTTCGGCGCTCATCAAAGCAATGGGAAAGAACTAGTGAGCGGGTTGGATTTGCATAAAACTGAGGGTGAACTGAAATCAGATTGTGCCCTTTGTTTAGGCCTGGAAATACATGACAAGAAATATGTGCCCTGTCGAAATTGGCGCTAGCAGGGATATAATCCCTGTAGCGAACATGCACCCCATATAAATCCACTGAAAACTTGAAATCGTGGCACCACGGTAGGTGAAGTCTGAGGTGGTCCGGTCATTTAAGTGGGACGAGGTTTATCTGTACTTCGCGGTAGTTAAACTGATCCGGCCCGGCTCCACCCGTGCTTAAGCTCCAATAGGAGTGCAATGGTAGACATGTAACCTAGCAAGTTGATGAACAAACCAAACAAAACCAGGCAAGGTCTAAACACCGGGACCACACGAGGTGCGCATATATATCTGCATCTCCCTTCTGTGAAACATCCGAGGCCAACTTGATCTAATCCACCATCTCTGTTACGGCGTGCCGTGGGTCAGACCAAGATCGCCGTTCGCCGATGGTAGGGATAAGTCAGGTGGTCAATACTAGAGAGATGGAAAATCGACGAAGTATTAAGGCTAGAAGGAGGCGGGATTGCGAGGAGAATACTGGAGTTATATTATATGATTGTGAAGCTGGAAAACTACTTTGTTGTAGCTCCGGCTTCATTACGTACTAATAACAATTTGACTCTGTCGCCGGATCAATTGGTGTTGTTATACAGCAGAGCGAGTCAAGAATGAAGTAAGTCAATTAACGAGATCTAGTGATAGAAGGTCTACTACATCCTGCTATTTACATTAGGAATTTTAATTAAAGACGCTGATCATAACAGCCTCCGTTGCTTAGCAACAGTTTCCAATCTACACCCTTGGTAGTCTCTACAGCTGACTACAACCTAGATTCCATGTCTGCCGTACTGGTGCAGAAAGTACACACATAATGAAGTCTACTCGTAATAAACACAATCCAACTAAGGTTGTAGTAATCCCTCATCATAACTCTAACCGTAACCTCAACCATGTCAATTCCGGTTGGCGCATTATCTGGTCTCACCATGTAAGTGCAAGTGTTGAGGGTGAGCCAAAAACCAGTTCCGTGAACTTTTACTCAGGCCTTCTACATAGACTCTGGTTCAAGAATGTCTCGCCATGACAATCTCCGTATCGGGTGCTGGGTACGCTCCGGGAACCCATCAGATAGCTTTTCCTCCATGATCAAGAGTTGGTGATGAGAAGGGCTTCGACCCTGCCATCTAATCTGACGGTGGTTAGCTTCATGATGATGATGATGATCGGGGAATGTGTTGAGCGATGAAGACGATACAGACGGCGAAAGCGATTAGGAATCCTCGTCGCAGTGAGGACTTTTGTACTCAATCTCAGCTCTGCAGACTCTTCAGTTAGAGCAGAAGGTTAGTAGGAGAAACCGCTGACAGGTATTGAGCTTTTATCCACATTAATTAGTCGTTGAGTAGAGATAGTTTATGGTAAATTTGAGTTCGGGAACTCGCGTGGGGATGATAGATGCGATATTGATGAGAAGTCGTCGGTTTCAGATGTACTCATGTTTGCTTTCGACCTCAACCCGGATGCAATTTGAGTTATTCTAGACATACAGAATAATAAGCGATTACACCTGCACCATTGAAAGGTGGTATATTCCAACCTCTGCCTCCTTAACGACTCGCATCTAATAGTACCAATCCTCAGGATTCCACATTAGATCTTACGGTTAGGGGGGGTCTTCTGCTCCTCATCGCCCCCCTCATCCAGCGAGACGAAACCTATTCGCAAGTTTTCAGTAAGCTGGTATAATACAACAAATTCATCCGATGCGGACTCCTCTAGTACGGAGATGAACACTAGTTTCAAAGATACGGCTACGCTTCCAGAGCGTTCGATTAAGGTAGAAATCCTGGCGATTTAGACCCATCTGTAATCAGGAGAGTCACGATCTACCTGCTTAACCTCATTTGAAGAACCTCCCCCATTTGCGCCTCGCGAAGAACTCAAGGGTTTATTGAAATGCCGGAAAAGTCTCATTAAAAAACGTGTTTCAGAAGAATTTATAACTACTTTTCTTCGCCTTATGTTTATTATTATTGTTTCATTTTATTGTCCTGTCTGAGTCTATAACTATATAGGACATGCAAGTCCTCTCTGCCTATAGGCCAGGGATACCCATACCAGTAGTATATCCCCTCCTATGCCTCCCATACAGCTACCCTCAAACATTACGACCCCTCAAAAGTCCTCATTCGATCATATACTTAGAGGAGCCCTTCGTCCTTCATTATCTCCCCACTCCAGCCAACGAAACGATGGCCAATTGCGGGTATATGGCACCCAGGAAAAATCGCAAAATTCACTGGGTGCGGAGCTCTCCTAATACCGACATTAGGACTAAATCCGAAGACATAGTGATCCTTCTGAGCGTTCGAAGAGACAGGCAAACTGGGCTTTGAAGACTTGTGTGTACCTCGGGAAATTCACACTCTGCCTTTCTAGTCTCCTTCGCGAAGGTCGTGCTGAAATGTCAGAAAAGTCTTGACAGAGCGTGGTTACTGTATGGTAGCTTAGCCCAACTTCTTTTGTGCCGTCTAGGGCGCTGGGGAATGCCGTTGACTCATCGACAAAAGAAGCCCTCCTGGCGAATTAGCCGAAATCTTGGTCGTGGTGCTCACAAAAAATTCAAAGTTGAAAACTCCTAGAAAATATCAGACCCAGCATGCCTACGAGAAACCTCTTCCCTCAATTATTTCATATCCCAGTTACTTGTACTTGAGTTGTGTAGCTCCATGAGAGCAAGGGTCTCCCATAAGCCAAGACTCAGGCTTTGTATTTTTCGACTTGATTTCCTCCTTGCGGGTATAAATAGCGTCTTAAGTATGTAGTGAGAGATGGCTTGAGATTAACAGGGCAAGCTCCTGTATGCAAGTAGAGAAACTCCTTTATTGGTCCTTGAGGCGTGATGATGCGTAGTTAGAAAGAGGTTGAGGACTCAAATAAGAATGATAAGAAAGGCATTGTCGAGTAGTCGTCAGATGGAGATGTAATTGAGGTTGATTTCGACTTCGATTCGGATGCGATTCTTCTTGGCTATCCCAGATATGCAGAGCATACGAAGCGATTATACCGACACCACTGGAAGGTGAAGAATTCGTCTTTGCCGGCTTCGCCTTATGTAATCGGGCATGCCATTGAGCCATTGAAGTCAAATTAGTCCTGGATAGTGTCGGACTCAAGCCAACTCTGCAAACCATACGGTAAGAGCTAAATTTTCAACGTAGACACGGCTAATGGCTAGTGGTCCCTTTTTCTCTTCAAAGACAAAGGATGTACAGTAATACATAAAGATAATACTAGACTGGCTCTTAGAGCCTGGATACATACGATGCTCGTCGCAGACAAATTGGTTCTGGTTCCCTGAATCCTTAGGCCCCAAGCTGTTAACTCGGTTGAATATCACGTGGTAATAATCGTGAGATTGCGCTTGCGCGTGGTGAACACGGAACGTAGCACCCACTTACATTCTTGCCACAACCAGATACCACTGGTAATATCACGGGAAATTACGAAGGCAGAGCTTAGTACTTTCTCCGACGCCCAGTCAATATTTGTGAATCTTGTAGAGTGAAGAAATAGACTTGATTTGGCGGTGTGCATAGAGACATAAACCCTTATCGAAATGGGGTTGTCGGGCGGCTTGAGGTCTGAGGAAGCCAATAACGCAGCCTGGGAGGGCGGAAAGGGAGCGGTTGCAGGTGCGGCCAAGGTATTGTAATACTCACAGTTGAGAGCTAGATGCTGATTTGGAGTTCCAGTGGGGTCTCAGCTGTGCAGCGCTAGGGGGAGTTGGATACTGTATATCCCCAATTTATCGCGGTTTAACTATCCAATTCAAGGTGTGAGTAATTATTTCGGGAGCCCGTTATCTATTTTGCTAAATCATTTCAGGTTCCTCCAGATGTCAGGTAAATATATTGAAATGTTCTCGCACGACTCCTTTCGATGCTTACAACATTAGGAATGATTTTGGGAGCCTGTTTGGAAGCAGATCATAGGATTCGGGAGTACGAGGTTAAAGTACGGATGTACAAACGCTTGGTGCGAGATCAGGCGGTATGGGACGGATATGAAGAAGATTACAGAGTGACAGATGACCAAAAAAGAAAATAAATACTATTTCAAACTATTACCTCCTTTCCATGCATAAAAGGTTTTCACGGAGTTAATTATCATGATATTGATGTGCCTTGATATTGGGGCGGCTATATGTTTTCTGAATGATAACATGGAATGAATTGGCCGTATTTTAACCAGGTGTCCCTTATTTTGACGGTTCGAAAAGCTTCGGATCCATGTTCAGCTTAGCCAGTCTCGCAACACATCCTTGAAGTTGAAGAAGTGTCTGTAGTCCCTCGATAATCTTCATGTGAGTGAAGCCAATCTCCTTGATAAATTCCAGCTTGGAGTGCTCGCTGAGAGAAGGAATGGTTTTAGTGACGCGAAACATGGTGCTGATAATATCATGGCTAGAGTATCCCAAATCCCATAATTCTTTCAGAGTATCCAGAGCCGAATCTAGCTTTCCCTCGTAGCAAGCTTTGATCATGGCCTGAATTTTGATGGGATGAGGGGAATCAACGACCTTAAAAACGTTATCCCCACTCACAAACCCAAAGCCAGCAAAAGTTGATTGTAGGTTGTTAATTGCTTGTCTCATGTCACCCTCTGCGCTAAAGATGAGTGCCGCCAGTCCGTCGTCACTGTATTCTACTTTCTCAGCCTCGATGACCTGTAACAATCTCTTGACAACTTGTGCATCAGTCAAGCGTGAATATCTGAGGATGGCGCAACGCGATTGTAGAGGTTCAATAATCTTGTTGGATTGGTTACAAGCAAACGCAAATCTTGTTGTTGATGAATAGATTTCCATAGTTCGCCTGAGGGCTTGCTGGGCACCAGAAGTCATACTATCTGCTTCATCGAGTATCACCAGCTTGTGACGACCTTGAGGAAGAGTGACCTTTTTTTGGGCAAACCCCTTTATACGGTTCCTCACAACGTCAATACCTTTACCAAGGCTTTTAGCACGGAGACTGGAGCTAATCTTCATGTTGACAGACCTCTCTCATCACTGGCATTAAGCTCTAGGACAGCTTCTTTGTAAGAGTCCCCCAGAAGTTGCCGAGCAAGACACAGTACTGATGTTGTTTTTCCAATGCCAGGCATTCCTGAAATAATGACATGAGGCATGTTCCCGTCCCTTGCAATTATCTTTAGTCTCTCAATGGTCTCTGTGTTACCGACTATATCATCAAGAAAAACTGGCCGATACTTTTCAACCCTTTTGTTGTTAGCTGAACAGAATTTAGATAAGTGAAGGCAGATCAGTACCATGGTAACTCGTAATTTTCAACCCCACTATGATTCGACTCTAAGTATTGTTTTGCGGCTCTAGTGGATGGTTCGCCTTTGTCTCTTCTTGGATTGGTAGACATTTGTCTTCAGCGTTCTGTCGCAGAGCTCCAGATGGGGCCGGAAATCTTTGTTACAATAAATTTGTCAAACGATGCACGCGGTGTCACGTGGAGTGGTGTTGGCGTGTTAATAGGAAAGCCTTGCGAGTACTCGTAACAGGTGACTACCACCAAGTCCATCCACCATCTTAGTGATATTGTAAATTATTGCACGACGAATACAGGAAGCTTGCCAATTATCGGGGCAAGTTTTTGTTGGAAATTACTTTCTAGGGTACATAATTACCAATGTGGTGAGATAAAGTGATTCTACATGTATGTTTTACAAACGTGTTTCTATAGCAACCATCTGTACAAACTAGACATTTCTGTTCCATGAATTACAGGAAAGTAAACACTTCCGACTTTCAAGTATTGAATAAAGACTTGAAGGATGGTTAACACAACCCTCACATGAATATTATCTTTCTATGAAAAAGTTGAGTACGATCTTGACATCAGTGGACGCAGAGCGTGGCGAACGGAGTTGTAGTTACACCAAGTAGGCCGAGTCACTAGATTAACAGCAGCACAATTTGAAAATAACCTTAACATAGGAAAAAATTTTGGTTGAAATTCAGCCTAAATATGATGACGTAAAAATATGATGGATAGGCATTATTTTGAGACTGGTAATGTGAGTAGCTGAATCTATAAACACTGGCCACTGCCCAGGTAACTACTGGCTCCGTTCCGCTATTTACATGGCTCTCATTCTAAGGGTACAACCCTATTTCAGGTATTGCGATCCTTCAGAAATGGATATATCAACCAAATTGAGTTATTGTTGCATCCTATTCATCTACAGCAGCATCGTTAGAGATTCTTTCTCTCTTTTGCAAATTATTTTATAATTTTGTTATCTTAAACTATGCTACCTTACGGCTTCCAAAACACTTCACTTGCGCATAGATTACGTAGAAATAAGCCTCACTTCTCGTGGTGGAATATTGCACTACGAAAATATTCTGTTGTCGGTAGTGTTATAAAAACGAGGTCATGAGAATACATAGGAATACCTGAGTTGGATGCAGATGATAATGGATATGCGGATATAATTGATATAGCTGTAATGCGATGATGCGTTGGAATGGACAGTGGTAAGATGTTTGAATATATGTCCGCAGAAGTATTGCTTCCTTATATACACGTTCAACCCCCAGACCTGATCACGCACTCATTACAGGTGCTTCCTACTCCTGTCATAGTAACCACATCCATAGCCACTACCAACATCTCCTGACGAAAAAACATCCACATTCCGAAATATCGACCCCACAGATTTTTATCTATAAAGTTGACAGCATATCTTAATGGTGATGATGAGTATTCCTACGAGAGGAATTAATGGTGGAACGCCTTGCGCGGGTCCTAGAGGTGGTAGCGTCGCGTCAAAGGCGCCACAAGACATGAACGCGTCCCTGAAAAGATTCAAGGACGCAAGGAAAGGCGAAGAGTTCTCCAGTAGAGCATACAGAAGAATAATTGAAGAGGCTGTACAGTTAATCGAGAGTATTCTGAAAGCGAAAGTCTCCCCCCATACCCGCTCAGCCCGGCCATAGCAACGATAATTCTGCAATGGCTAAGATACTACAGGAGATAAAGGACATTAAAGCCTCCATAACACAAAATAGCCCACAAATCCAAGCCCCAGGCCGCTCCTGGGCAAAAGTCGCAAGCAAGGGAGAGTCGTACGGAACTACTATCCGAATACAAGATGAACAGGAAAAGAGAGACATAGCCAAACTCTCGAGCGAAGAATTAGTCAGGAAAATCGGAGTACAACAAATAATAGGTGCTAGACAAATGACGAATGGCCAAGTAAAGGTATACTTCGCCGGTTAAGGAACGAAAGAATTTATGGAGCATCACAAGGACTGGACATCGAAATTGGCTGCTTCTGCGAAAGTTGCCGGCCCTGTTTACCAAGTTCTCATGCATGATATGCCGCTCTCCTTTGAGCTACAAAACGCAGAATATCTGAAGCTGCTACAAAAAGCCAACCATGTTTATATACAAGGAATGGTAATCCAAAGAGCCGCATGGATTAAGAAATCTCAGCAGCCAGGAAAAAAGTCTGGATCATTAATCCTGTGGATTGATCAGGCTATTCACGCAGACATGGCGATAAAAAAGGGCTTGATGTGGCAATATGAGCTCAAGTCAACAGAACTATTCAGGAGTGGCTTTCGCATGATGCAATGCTTCAATTGCCAAAAGTACGGACATATTGCGAAAATCTGCTCAGCAGATTCGAAGTGTGGCCACTGTGCAGGAGAGCACAACACTCGAAACTGTACAGGAAAACAAGACGTCAAATGCAGCAACTGTGGAAAAGGCCACAAAACATAGGATCAGAGCTGTTCAGTTAGGGCAGCAGCAAAAAATAGGGCTGTCCAAAACAGGACCCAAGACCCAGGAATGTTTTTGAACGACGAAAAATCGACAAGAAATCAAGATAGCGAATGGCAGATTGCAGGAAGCAGGAAAATAAAAGCAGTATTGACTGCACCACTTGTTGGGGCCGATGGCAGTATAGATGGTCCTAGGCGTCCAGGCAGACCACCAAAGATCACATCAGCTGTCTCCACAGTTGCAGGGCTCTTCGCAAATCTCAGCGATGTGCCATCAAGAATGACACCCCGGCCTGTGACACGGGGAAATCAAGCAGATGAGACTGAGAGCGAAATGGATTCATGAAGGACAAATCAGTTCTTTCAATCATACAGTACAACGTCAACAGGAGTAAGAATAAAGTGCAGCACGATTTCCTCCAAGCCCTGAATCCACTTAAGCACCACATAGTGGCCCTGCAAGAACCATGGCGTCACCCCACCGAACAAACGACAGTTACCCACCCTGCCTACCACCTAGTTTTCCCAAGTGGCCACAAAGGCAGGACATGCATCTACATTAGCAAAAACCTTGCTAGCAGCAAATGGAGAAGAGAAAAAGTTCCCGAAGAATCCCAAGGAGACATCACATCTGTCAGCCTCGATACCGACCTTAGTAAAATTTGGATACATAGCGTGTATAACCCACCCCCATTACACCACAGCAGCCTAGAGGAAGGAACATTCAAATGGCTCCCGCAAATTCTATCTCAAGAGAGGGAACACATTCTAGTCGGAGACTTTAATGTGCACAATCCGCATTGGGGGGGACAGTCAGTACTTAGGCACCATAAGATCGCAGACACCTTTATCGATATTCTCGGAGTGCATGACTTAAAACTCATACTCCCCAAAAGTACAATCACATGGAAGAGTAGAGGAAGTCAGAGTTCGCTGGATCTAGTCTTCGTCTCAGATGTCTTAGAGAGTACTGTCGTAACTTGCAAGCCAGCCCTAGACCTCGAAGCATTGTCGGATCATATCCCCATATGCACACAGCTTCATATCGTGCCACCAAACCGACAAGAACAACAACCGCGACCACAATGGAAAAAAGTAGATTGGCAGGAAGTCAACGGTAAACTTGCAGCGAAGCTAGGCCGGATTTCTGATGAAGACAGCGAGCTTTACACCCCGGAATCCATTTATCAGAGAGTAAATGCCATCACAAGGGCTATCCAGGAAACCACCAAAGATGCAATCCCCAAAGCCAGACCGTCTACTTTTGCCAAACCTTATTGGACAAAAGAGTGCAGTGATACCTTAAAAGAAGCTCGAAAGGCAAGGAGATTGTGGACAAAGCTTGGCACCGAGGAAAGCTGGGTCGAATACCAGAAAGCCACAAATAAGAAGAAAAGCCAGATTAAGAAGACCAAAATGCTTGGATGGAGAGCTATTGTCTCCGATGCAACTAATGATCCAGCTAAACTATGGAAGTTAACCAAGTGGGCCAAGAAAAGGCCGGATGAGAGATCAAGACTTCCGCAACTTCCTGATATCATAGATAAAGATGGCAACCTCTTTACCAAAGACACAGATGAAGCAGATATATTGGCCCGACACTTCTTTCCCCAGCCCATACAAGCTTATCTAGAGGATATAGAAGGGACAGTATATCCCGAAGAACTAACCACCATCTCGAGTACCATCACTGAAACCGAAACCCAAGAGACCATGACGAAACTAGCAAGCGAGAAAGCGTCTGGTCCAGACGGTATCACAAATTGGATGCTTAAGAATTGTAGATTCACCCTCAGCAAATCCCTCGGAAAACTTTTCAATGCCTGCATTACAAACGGATACCATCCAAAAGGGTTCAAAGAGTCGGCAAAAATTGTGCTGCGAAAGCCACAAAAGGAGTCGTATGATAACCCAAAATCATACCGACCAATTGCACTCCTGAATACCTTAGGTAAAGTCCTCGAAAAGCTCATAGTAAACCGCATACCGAAAGCAGCTGAAACTCATCGCTTACTCCCTGATGAACAGATGGGGGCCCGACAATTAAGGTCTACAATTTCCGCAGTGGAACTCCTTACAGAACAAATTCACACCATATGGGGAAGGAACAAAAGGAGAGTTACTTCTCTCCTCAGCCTAGATATATCCGGAGCCTTCGATAATGTTTCACACCAAATGCTAATTCACAACATGAGGGTAAAAGGTATTCCCAGATGGGTTACACATTTCATTGAATCGTTCCTTGAGGATAGAACTACATCGATGAACCTTGGATCGTTCAAAGGGGATCAGTTTTCGACCTGTACTAGAATACCGCAGGGGTCTTCTCTTTCTCCGATTCTTTTCCTCTTCTTTGTCAGCACGCTTCTTCCCGAACTCCAATCAGCATTCTCTACGGTAGTGGGGTTCGTAGATGACACTAACACACTCACCTGGTCCGACTCAACAGAACAAAATTGTCAGAATCTCGAGAGGCTTCACGGGATTTGCGAAAAATGGGCCTACCAACACGGAGTTAAATTCGCGCCTGAAAAGTATCAGCTGATGCACTTTTCGAGAGCTAGGAAAAGACACAACATGCAAGCCGCAATCCAAATCCAAGGCCATCACACCAAGCCACAAACTTCT